GGGGGGGGGGGGGGGCGGGTGTCGTGCGGGGGGTTGCAGCGCGGAAGAGGGGAGGGGAGATATCGATACACTGGCTGCGGCTCGTTTTTCTTTACGCTTCAGTTCGCCGTAAATGACTGGAGTCAGGTGTCCGGTATCGTGTGTGTGTGTGTGTAGCATCGACCGCGCTAACCGGCTGACCAATATTCAGCATCGTGTGTGTGTGTGCGCGCGTTCGTCTCATCTATTCTGGCTCCGGCTTACAGGCCTTTCGGCGTAAAAACAATACCTCACGTAAGAGCCGGGATCATCACAACAGGAACCTCACACATACATCGTGCGGGTGAAATTGGCCGGCACACACGGACTACTGAAGATGGGACCCGCAGGTAAAATCGTCAACCGATCACATACCCTATATGACACAAGATAACACACCCCCTTGACCGATTTTCGAAGCTCGATTTCTCAACTGCAGGAACAGTCACAGCGCCGAAAACGGCGGCGTTGAAACCGTCTCGTCGAGAGCTTATCGAAAATGTATCACTTCGTTTATGCATCCTCTTCGTCGTGGCGTAATCGAGCTCTGCAAATCGGTCCAGGGGGTGTGTTTATCTTGTGTCATATACGGTAGCTTCGAAACCAGCGTAGGCAACGACAACACCACCACCGCAAACTACAACCCAACCGACTTACCGTAGGTGCCATGACATGACGCAAGATACCACACCCCCTTGACCGATTTTCAAACCTCGACTATGATACTCCGCGAACAAGGGGGTGAAAAACTCAAATTGGTGCATTCTTGGAAAGATGTCGACGACATGTTTCCAACAACGCCATTTTCAGCGCCGCCACTGATTCTGCTGAATATCGGTCCAGCGGGTGTGATATCTTGTGTTATGTCGCCTACGGTACCCACGCAAACCTGAACACCAAATACAGCAGCGCAGAGGGATTTGGGCAACCTTTGCTGGACCCCCGGCATAGCTGCACAGAAGTGTGAGACCATTTTGAGCGTGCTATCTGTGTCGCGCGACTCCTTCGGGGCGACAGGCTTTTCCTACCCCGTCCACTTGCTCCAAGAGGAAGTATACCGCAGCACCCTCTGAGGCGCGGCACAGCAGCCCCAGACAACCGCTACAGAGCGTCCACACGAACGACCTCCTTGAAATGCCACCATCGCCCCAACACGCGTAACTCAACAAGATGACTAAAACAACCAGCAACAGCAACAACAACAACAACAACAACAACAACAACTTCCTTTGGCCCCATTCACGACGCGTACAGACACGTTCAAGCCTGCAGTAGCCTTCGCAGGGTTTTCGTATTGAGTAAACATGTTGAATTGAACACACAATCGGGGAAGAAGGGTTAGGGATAGGGAACAGGGTCTGCGTACCTCCCTTCCTGTTCTATCTGTTTCCTCAAAAAAAAAATCTCGCAACGAAGGTAAGTCCAACAACAACCACCCACCACGGGTCGGCGATGACGCCGGAGAATAAGAAAAGTCGGGCGTGATCGCGCTCAGCAGGGCCGCGAGCGTAAACTCCGGCTGCTGCTGCTGCTTCTTCGCCGCCGCCCGCGGAGGAGGCGGCGGCCTCGATCCCCCCCCCTCCTCCCCCCCGTCCTCGGCGGTAGCGTTCTTGACCGGGGGGGACGGTGCTTCCCCAGCCCCGTTCGGCGTGTCACCACCACCACCGGCGGCCGCACGCAGGGGCGACACGAAGTTGCCGCTCCCGTAGACGTTGGGGGGTGGAGCGCGGGGTAACAGCAATGAACGGCGGCGGGGAGCGGCGGCAACACTACCACCCGTGGACGGGAGAAGTCTCGTGTCCCCGGGTCGAAGAGAAGAGCGCCGCCGGCCGTCGGACGACGAAGACAACGACGACATGGTGGCGGTGGCGCCTGTCGACGACGGTCGCTGCTGCTGATGCCCACGCCGCCGCCGCTGCTGTTGCGGTCTGAGCGAAGTGCCCCCACTACCTCTAAACCCGGTGGTGTCCGCACCCACCATGCCCCTGATGATGCCACTGCTGGCAGCAGCAGCAGCATCAGCAGCGGCAGCAGCAGCGGGCGGCGCGGTAGCTGCGTCTCCGGAGAACCGGGGACGCCAACGGCAGCGTCCCCTGTACGGCGCCGCCGGCAAAGACCCGTGTGGGTGCGCGAACGCCAGCCCCGGTGGTGCGGCGCTTGCGGCTGCTCTTGCTCCTGCCGCTGCTGCTGCTGCTGATGCTACTTCCCTGGCTGATCGCCACCGGTGGGATGGCACCTGTCCGGCTTTTGCTGCGGCTGCGGTGGGTTGTTGGGGGGGGGCGCCGATCGAAGATGGTGATGCTGCCGCGACTGTTGCGGCGGCGGCGGCTACCCACAGGGTGGCCAAGGCGGACAACACCACAGCAGTGAACATCGGAGCCGGCATGGTGTCTCCCCTTGACGCCGTCGTCCTCCTCCTCCTTCTCCTCCTCGTCGCTGTGACGGTCATCTTGATCTCCTGTACGATGGCCCCCGTTGCTATTAGTGGTGACGGTGGTGCGGCAGCATAGCGGCTCTGGTGGTGGTCATGGTGGCAGGAGCAGTGCCCAAACGAAGGACGGCATCAGAAAAGAAAACGGTGTCGTTGGCGAGCAACAACAGCAGTGGTGCAGGAGTGTCAGCGAAGAGAACGGCTCGGGAGGTGGTGCATCAACGGCCCCTGCTATGTGCGTTAAACTCGATACTACTCTTAACGTTTTCGACTGCCCGAATCCCGCGATGGTGCCCAACAACACAACGTGCTGTAGAGAACTGCTGTGATGCGTAGACCTCTCGTGACCGTTATGATTTTCACCTATAAATAGACTGTATACAGCAGTACAGTAGTATCCTGAATGTCATGAGATGAGACATCACCCTGGGGACAAAGCGTTCATATTTGCGATGGTCACTGCTGCTGTTGCTGATAATATTTTCTTCAAGGTTAACAAGAACCGAATCGGCTACGACATCCATTTTGCGCGCTAGAGGCGTGAGATGCCGTCGGAGATTGTGCGCGCTACCCCCCAAGTGCTAAGAAGGAGACTACCCAAGCGCGAGAACAAGGAAAGCTGCCGTGTTGCAACTTCGATTGGACTCATGTTTTCGACTTCGACCAGACTCTCAGAACAGTACATTACATACTCCTGGCCGCCTTAACCGCCACAGCCAACAGCACTGCAATCTCAAATGTGATAGGACAGCCTTCATGGATCACTGCTGGTGCTGGATGCTGACACGTTGAAGCCGTGGCTCTGTGTTATAGCACGATTCCCACCCTGGTATCTGCGGTGCCGCTGCTGCTGCCCATCGTTTTTCGACTGCGGCAAGACAAAGATTCTCAACCCAGAGGCAGAGACCCTTCGATGACCAACATTTTGCAATCACGCAAGGCAAGCGGTAGATAGATGCTACAGGCAGAGCTCGCGACGGCAGCTGGTTGGATCGAGAGAGAGAGAGAGAGAGAGAGAGAGAGAGAGAGAGAGAGAGAGAGA